ACACCTTCAGTCTTGGCTCCGGTTCTGTCTCTTGGCGGTCTACCCGTTCTTCTTCTGTTCTCAGCTCCAGTTGTGAGGCTGAGATCTACGCTGGGGCCATGGCTGCACAGGAGCTACGCTGGCTCACCTACCTGCTGACCGACTTGGGAGAGGCGCCTCGTTCTCCTCCAGTTATGTACGTCGACAACAAGGCCATGCCGGCCTTGTGTCAGGAGCACAGACTGGAGCACAGAACGAAGCACATTGCTCTGCGCTACTTCCTTGCTCGAGAGTTGCAGCACCGTGGCCAGCTTCGTCTTGCTTACGTGGCCTCTGAGGCCAACACTGCTGATGTTTTCACCAAGGCACTTCAACCTTGTGATCATCAGCGTTTCTGTACTGTTCTAGGCCTTGTACCTACTGTGCCTCACTTGCTGACTTCTTGACTCTGCTTGTACTGTACTCTATATACTTATACCTGCATGCTTACACTTGCTAGGTTATGTTCACTGTATTGTTTGCTTTCCTTTATATAACTCTGCATGTGAACTGGCCTTGTGGCCCTTTGCTTGTGCTCAGACTGCGTGGTGACTTTGTGATCCACCCGGAGCTTGCTTTGCCTTCTTGACTAGTCTTGTGACCGCTTGTTCTCCCCCACTTTGCCTATGGGGGTGTGTCAAATTTATATATGCTATAGCCTGTTTAGGCTGTAGTGGGGTAGTTCTTATAGGGTACAACACTTTTAGGTTTCCTACTTGTACCCACCTGCTTCCTAGTTCATCCATTCCTCTCATTTATTCTCACAGGCTATACCAACTGTTAGCAGTAACTCTGAACGCGGGCCTAGCGGTAGGCTTCTTCTTGAACAGAAAGTGAGTGCCTGTGAATTCCTCTATGGCTTCCGCAGCCATGTGGACGAGAAAAGGAAACTGAAGCAAAACTACTCCGCGGCACCGGCCATGCTGCGCTGGCATGGGATATTCGACCCCCTTCTAGAGGGTTCGGATGAGATTCTCCTGCCTGGCAACGCATGACGATGCGATTGGGCCGCACGGCAGGTTTCGAGTCAGCTCTGGCAGGTGCGTTGAATCGGGACGGTCTTTATGCGGTGAGAAATCGAAGCACGGTTGTTTTCGCCTGCATTCCATGCTCGATCCCACGTTAATGTTTCACAGACGTGTTCGCCTTATTTTGGGCTTCAATTTGGTTCCTTTAAAAACATTTTTTTTACAATATACAGGCGCAAGCACTTATGCCCTATACTCAATTACAAGTGCCCCCTTTTAAAAGAGAGATTTTATTATATGCGCATATGCGCTACTATCCGGGGCCATACGGTATGCCATGGATTGGTATGATTGGCCTGCTAAAAAAAAACAAAAACAAAAACAAAAACAAAAGGCTTATGCTATCATACTGTATGATCAGTACCGGAGCGAGCTGGTGTGCATGTACTGGAAGGTAGCTGAGGCCGGTGGAGAGGAGCCCAGTGTGTTTGGGACAACTGTGGAGCTGAGAGGAGTTGATCCTGCATGGAGTAGAAAGGAGCTCTTGACATATCTTCAGGAGTGAATTAGGACAAGGTCATAAGACCAGGCAGCTGAGCTTGGTTATAAAAAATCAGTGAACAACATGCCATGGGTGGACCTGATGATCAACATACATATTTGAATCACAAATCTCAGGAAAGATGCAACGATAAAAGGTTGTTCTATGCAAGGTTACAGGCAATTTGGGACCGAGTTTTCTGAATTAAGAGCTAGTTGCCGATATGTGAATATTCAACCACCAATCTTAAATGGCATTTGATATATGTTTGACATATTGTAGAATAAATCTACACCAGGAAATGTAGGCCATTTCTTGCCTCTATTCACCCCTATACAAGACCATTCAGCACGCCCGAAGCGCGCCCGATCACCACGTCTGGTTGTGCGCCCATACAAGGGATGCGGCTGGCAAAATCGCGCACATCGGCTATTTTCGTGTTTGTCTCCAAACAGTCCTAGATCACATCCCAAGCGAAATCACTAGTGCAGAATGCCTTGGCACGGCACGGGTTGGGTCGAGACAGTAGGTCTGCACGTAGGAGCCCCCCCTATCATAGCAGAACTTCTGAGGCAAAGAAGCGTTAAGGCGCGTATGCCGCCAACTATGGAAATCGCCGGTCCATTTATGAGGGAGCAGGACAATCCAATTGATACAATGCTTTCAATTATTTTAGCACCGCCAACTATAATTTTGCGCTGTGCTTAGTACAATAGCATGTACCTGCCAAAAGTGCATTGTCGCTCTAGTACTCCGGACGAAGGATGTCCGAAATCCGCGGCGATGAGTCGGATCAGTACGAGCAGCAGCAGCAACTTGAAGGATATGCCGCCTTTTCTTGTAATCTCCCGTCGAGATGCAATCTTTGTCAGGATCCCAACCACTAGACCATTGGGATAAAAGGGCTTGTTTCAGTAGCGGGTCAGTGCGCCCATAACCCCCCAGGCTAACAGGCCTGTAACCCTCCAAGGATCAATCGGGGATCTCACAGTGCAAGTCTTCTGACACCCCCCCACACTGGGAGGTCCAGGACTCGGCACAGCAGCAACGGCCTGCATGTGCATACACCGGGATTCGAACCCGAGACCACTCTGATACCATGTGAGAATAAACGAGAGGAATGAATGAACTAGGAAGCAGTTGGGTACAAGTAGGAAACCTAAAAGTGTTGTACCCTATAACAATTACCCCACTACAGCCTAAACAGACTATAGCATATATAATCTTGACACACCCCCATAGGCAAAGTGGGGGAGAACAAAAGGTCACAAGACCAATCAAGAAAGAAAAGCAAGCTCAGGGTGGATCACAAAGTCACCACGCAGTCTGAGCACAAGCAAAGGGCCACAAGGCCAGTTCACATGCAGAGTTATATAAAGGAAAGCAAACAATACAGTGAACACAACCTAGCAAGTGTAAGCATGCAGGTATATGTATATAGAGTACAGTACAAGCAGAGTCAAGAAGTCAGCAAGTGAGGCACAGTAGGTACAAGGCCTAGAACAGTACAGAAACGCTGATGATCACAAGGCTGAAATGCCTTGGTGAAAACATCAGCAGTGTTGGCCTCAGAGGCCACGTATGCAAGACGAAGCTGGCCATGCTGCTGCAACTCTCGAGCAAGGAAGTAGCGCAGAGCAATGTGCTTCGTTCTGTGCTCCAGTCTGTGCTCCTGACACAAGGCCGGCATGGCCTTGTTGTCGACGTACATAACTGGAGGAGAACGAGGCGCCTCTCCCAAGTCGGTCAGCAGGTAGGTGAGCCAGCGTAGCTCCTGTGCAGCCATGGCCCCAGCGTAGATCTCAGCCTCACAACTGGAGCTGAGAACAGAAGAAGAACGGGTAGACCGCCAAGAGACAGAACCGGAGCCAAGACTGAAGGTGTAACCCTGTGACGACCGCTGCGTAGCCAAGTCGTCAACCCAGGAGGCGTCAGCGTGACCAGTGAGGACAACTCGAGCCCGTCCTCCAAGCACGAGCCCCATGCCCGATGTACTGCACAAGTATCACAACACCCTCTTCGCAGCATCCCAGTGCACCTTTCGGTGCCTGCCGGGAGCCATGTAGCGAGCCAGAAGGCTGAGAGGGTATGCGAGGTCAGGTCGTGTGCAAGTCATCAGGTACATGAGGCAGCCCACAAGCTCTGGATACGGGCCACTCGGCTCTACGGACTCGTCCGAAGGTGGAGCTGAGAGCGAGTGACCGGTAGGCAGAGGAGTGGACTGTGGCGAGGAGTACGTGAAGCCGAAGCGCTGAAGGACCTGCTGCACCATGTGTGACTGAGTCAAGGTAATGGTGCGCTGTGCTCTGTCCCAGGTGATCCGCAAGCCAAGATAGCTTGTCAGCTCACCCAGGTCTGTGCACGTGTGTCTCTTCTGCAGCTCGAACTTCACGTGGGCGAGTGCCTCAGTGTCAGCAGTAGCAAAGACGAGGTCGTCTACGTACACGAGAACGTAGAACGGCGGCAGAGTAGTGTCAGTGCGTAAAAACAAAGAAGGGTCAGAAGTGGAAGGAGCAAAGCCAAGAGCAGCAAGAGTCGTCCTGAGAGTGTCGTGCCACTCACGGGGTGCCTGACGGAGACCGTAGACTGGTCGCCGGAGGCTCCACTGGGTACCAGCAGGAAACGACCCAGTGAAGCCTGGTGGGCGGCGCAGCCAGATCTCCTCGTGCAGGCTGCCCTGGAGGAAGGTTGTACTGAAGTCAAGCGAGTGGAGCTCGTAGTCACGCTGGGCGGCAACGTGCAGCAGTACCCGAAGAGTGGTCATCTTCGGGGTAGGGGAGAAGGTCTAGAAGAAGTCAACTCCCTGTCGCTGACTGAAGCCACGTGCAACGTAACGCGCCTTGAAGACAGGCGGAGAACCCGGCAGCCGCTTCACCCTGAAGATCCACATGCCACTGACGATGTTCGCCCCAGGCGGGGGAACCTCATCGACGTAGGTGCCTGTGGACTTCCAGGAAGCCATCTCGGCGTCCAAGTCTGCCTGCCACTAAGAGGAGTAGGGACCCTCTATCGCCTCTGCGTAAGAGCGCGGGGTCGGGATGTCTGGTGCATCCGGGTCTCCCTCAGGGGCAATCAGCATGGACACGAGATGAGGTACAGAAGCAGCAATGCACTCAAACTCCTCCTGTCTGTCCTCAAGAACGTCCGTGCTAAGAGCACACTCACCCCCGACGGACGGAGGACAGACAGACGCAGACTCAGCAACAAGACTAGTGGCGTAGTCTAGGCGACAGGCTTCAGCAAAGTCAACAAGCTCAGCAACAAGAGCAGACGCAGCAGAGGACTCAAACAAAGGGTCAGTGACAGCAGTGGCCAGAAAACGCGTGACAGCTGGACTAGCAGCACGTAGGGAGTCAGACGCACCAGCACCTGGAGCAACAGACGCACCAGCACCTGGAGCAGCAGACGCACTAGCACCTAGAGCAGCAGCCGCAATGCCCGGGTCGGGCGGGACACTCAGGTAACAGTCACCCTCAGCACTATCAGCAAGAGCATACATGGCAGCAAGGATAGCATCAAAATCTAGATCAAAGATAGGCACATTTTGCAGAAGCAGATCATGCCAGCGAGGGAGCTCAACGGCGTCAGGAAACTGGGTACGCCAAGCGTCAGTCAAGCGACCGAAGCAGCGCTGCGTGGTGTGTGGGAGCCCACATACCTCCCCACTACGAGTGCCGGTGCGAAGAACGTAAGTGCAGGGACCTGCACCCCCAGACCTCCCACGCCCAGCGTACCACTCACGAAGCTGCTGAACCGACGGGGTCTCACGGGTGCGCAGCTGCTGCTGGCGCTGGCTGCCACCAAAGCCTCCACGCTGCGCGGCTGCACCTCGACCAGCACCACCTCCGCCGCCACCTCCACCACCGCTGCCGCTGCCTCCACCACCTCCGCCACCGCCGCCACGACCTCCACCGCCGCCACCGACGCCCCCACTCCCGGTACCACCCCCACCTCCACCGCCACCTCCTCCGCCGCCTCCACCTCCTCCACTGCTTCCCCCGCCGCCCCCTCCACCACCCTTGCTCCCCTTGCCCTTGCTGTTGCGGCGTCTCCCACTAGGGGCAGACGTAGCTCCGACCTCCTTAGTGCCAACGAGGTCGACAGCAGCAGCAGAAGCAACAGAGGGGAGAAGGGGGACAGGGGAACACCCCTCAAAGAAGGGGGTGTGACGGTCGCCGCGAGAAGCACCTATAGCTAAGGTACTCTTCTTTGCTGCAGCAAGGCGCTCCTCTAGCAGGTCGACAGTCAGCTCGGTGGGGCAAAGGGAGAGAAAGTGGTCCCTGACTGAAGAGAGGGAGTCAGGGAGGCGGGTGACTAGGTAGTAAAGGGTGATGTATATGGGGGGGGGGTTCTTGGCACAGAACTCAGTGGGAAGGGCAGCGCGGTAGCGGGCGTCACTAGTGCGAAGGTGAGCAACTAGGTCAGCGACTGTGGCAAAGGCGGCAAGGTCAGGGAAAAGGTACGGCAGCATGAGGGGGCTGAGGGCAGCAGTGGCAGGGGAGGAGTAGCGTGCAACTACAGCGTCGTACAAAGACTGAGCAGTCTTGTACTGGCCAAAGTGTGCGCGCTCAGCAGGCGGCAGGTGACGCCGCGTGGGCAGGGGCGACGCCGCGGGCAGGGGGCGACGCCGCGAGCAGGGGCGTGCGCGGGCAGAGGTGACGTCGCGGGCAGGGGCGACGTCGCGGGCAGGGGCGACGCCGCGGGCAGGGGCAACGCCGCGAGTAGGGGCGACGCCGCGCGGGTCCCGCAGGGGCGTCGCGACGAGGCAGGGTGGCGACGGGGCGGGGCCGCGACCGGTGACGGGACGGGGCCACCGCGGGCGACGGGGCGAGGCCGAGAAGGGGCCGCAAATGGGCCGCTGAGGGGCCACGAAGGGGCCGCTAAGGGGCCGCGAGGGGGCCGCGAGGGGGCCGCTAAGGGGCCGCGAAGGGGCCGCGAGGGGGGCCGGGCAGGCCGCGAGGGGGGCCGCTAAGGGGCCGCAAGGGGGCCGGGCCGCTAAGGGGCCGCTAAGGGGCCGCGAGGGGGCCGGGCAGGCCGCTAGGGGGCCGCGAGGGGGCCGCTAAGGGGCCGCGAAGGGGCCGCTAAGGGGCCGCGAGGGGGCCGGGCAGGCCGCTAAGGGGCCGCGAAAGCTTAGGGCAGGGCAGAGCGCGAAGCGCGCTTCGGGCAGGTTAGGATAAAAAAATGTAACGTGGTGGGCCCTTAGGAAGAAACGGTCCCACTAGGGAACCCGCTCTATACCATGTCAGGATCCCAACCACTAGACCATTGGGATAAAAGGGCTTGTTTCAGTAGCGGGTCAGTGCGCCCATAACCCCCCAGGCTAACAGGCCTGTAACCCTCCAAGGATCAATCGGGGATCTCACAGTGCAAGTCTTCTGACAATCTTCTGCCTCCTTCCCCTCACGACGGCGCTTTCGCTGCTGCTCCTCGCCTATACCGTACAAAACGGTACGACAGGCATGGTAGTCTCGTCACCAATCAACTCGGTTCGCAGGCTCCTTGGTGCGACCGGCTTGCGACAGCTCTTGACAGCGCCCTACGACTACCACGCCGACTTAGCAGCTGCTCTATCGACTCGGTTGCCGGCGGCGCAAGGCGGAGCCTTTGCGTTAAATTCAAATGACGAGAACTATCAAGCCGCCGGGAGAGACAAATCCGCGTTATGCACAAAGATGGTACTGCGAATAATACCTGAGATATCATCTCAAACTCAGACTGGGTCCGGGCGATACCCGGCGACTCGGCGGCGGAGAGGCGCAGGTCTGAACTCGGAGCTCCGTGACGTCGTTGGTAGCAGTTCCGAGAAAGTGGTTTCCACGGATTCTAGTGAGCCTGGCGGCAACGCTGTGAAAGTTGTCCTGGACCAGTAAGTTGCTGCGACTACTAACGTTACTACCACTAGTGAAAATGGCGCCAGAAGCAACGGGAGGGAGTGCAGGTGGCGTTCACGAACGGTTCACTGCGTGGCGGAGCTCTTCAGCCTATACAATGACGCGTACCGGTATGCACATTGCTTGCACCTCGCTGATCTCAGATATGGCAGGCTCTTCATTGTGATGCGCTCTTTTTCCTCTTTTTTAGGCAAGATTCTCTGTATCTCGCTCAGATTCTTATAATCCACATGGCCTTTCTGCTGCTTTGTTGGCAGATCGTTATGGCCTGGTCGCGTGGACCTCGTAATCCGCAGCCACGTGTCAAGCAGCTTCTTCCTGCTTGAAATGCTCTTTTATAGCATCGATCAGATGTGGCCACGTGGCATAGGTGACGTCATCCTCATCCTAGACGGCGACAAGCAAGAGGCTGAGGACCTCATTCCCACGTGGATTAAAGTCTACTACGAGGATAACTGCCTAAAGCTTCCAGGAAAGATCCTGCACAGTGGAGCTACCTTTGGGCTGACAACAACACGGCAGCCCCTTACGTGGCCTTTATCGACGATGACATCATCTTTGACTTGAAAGTAACACCCGGGTTACTATTCAACCTGACAGACGGCAAACCGTATGTGATTGGCAGCGAGCGACGACAGCTGGACCACTGGTTACCATCCACCAAGTTTCTTGTTGGAGATGACAAGTACTTCGCCAATTTCATGGTGCAACTGCCATTTCTTATGCCAACCAGCGTCCTGCCAAGATTCAAGAGCCACATGACGTATCTGCACAAGGATAAGGGCGGCAGCTTTGACTCGGCTTTCAAGTGGTTCTCCAAGCATGGACCCCAGTATGAGCGGACCCAAATCGCCCACACGACCATTGGGAACTACATGTGGGCGTATGCTCATGATGAGGTGCATTGGGCCTTGGAATTGACCAATCACACGCCGATCCCCCGCGTTGGCGTGCACCTTCCCTACACGCAGCCCTTCCACATCGCCACAAAGCACAACGGCAACGCGCCACATGTCATCAAGACGTACATCCAGGGGGCGGCTTACTACTCGCACGAGGGCGTGTGCTGTGCGCTGCCTGCTGGGAGCTCCCAGGGTGTGACGACGTGAACCCCTTTCCTCAGCAACAGATATGGCAGTATGCCATGGGTTGGTATGATTGACCTACTATTAAAAAGAAGAAGGCAAATGCTACTATGGTGTACGATCAGTACCGGAGTGAGCTGGAGTGCATGTACTGGAAGGTAGCTCAGGCAGGTGGTGGAGAGGAGCCCAGTGTGGTGGGGACAACTGTGCAGCTGAGAGGGGCAGATCCTGCAGGGAGTAGTGCATAAATTCAAGGTCATAATCCAGGCAGCTGAGCCTGGTTGGCAAATTCAGCGAACAACTGTTGCAGCAGTGAGGCTTAACCTACAATGGTTTAGGTTCCTTAGTACCATAGTCGAGGTTCTGTGCAGTTATGTACTGTGTTATACACTGTAATCCCTCGGATATAGCACCCTAGGGTCTTTTGATAAATGCAAAAAGGGGTGTGTGTGTGTCTTAACAACGGGAATAAAATTATTTTGAATTAAGACATTTCTGGTTATTTTAAATAAGTGATATTTTGAATGAATAGACGTCTGGTGTTTCTCACAAGGTTATTTATCATCGCACCTTTAGCGCTGACGTGGGTGATGGTGACGAAAGGATTGCAATTAGACATTAAACAAAAGAAACGTTTGCTAAGGCTTGGTGACATGGAATTTCAGTGAATGATCCATTAATTTGTTTATATTAATTGGCTTATTTTGACGTATTGTAGATCAATCTATACGAGGAAATGGAGGCCAAATCTGGCCTCAATTCACTCTTGTGCGAGAACATTCAACACGTCCGAAGCGCGCCCGGTCACCACGTCGTGCACCCAAGCAAGGGATGGGGCTGGCGAAATGGCACGCGTCGTCTATTTTCGTGTTTGTCTCAAAACAGTCAACATTGCCCCGCGCGCCCGATGTCCCATTCCAAGCAAATTCGCTGGTGGAGAGTACATCTGCACGGCACGGGTTGGGTCCAGACGGCAGGCCTGCACGTAGAAGGCTCTTCTATCATAGCAGAACGTTTATTGGCAAGGAAGCGTAAAGGCGAGTTTGCCGCCAACTATGGAAATTGCTGATCCATATATGAGGGAGGAGCACAATTTAATTCAAACAACCCTTTCGATTATTTTCACACCGGTAACTAAATTTCGCGCTGTGCTTAGTACATCAGCATGTACACCCTGCCAAAAGTGCACCGTCGTTTTAGTACTTCTGAGGAAGGATGTCCGAAATCCGCGGTGACGAGTCGGAGCAGTACGAGTAGCAGCAGCAATTTGAACGATACGTCGCCATGTCTTGTGATTTCCCGTCGAGGGGCCACCTTTTGCCTCCTCGCCGTCGCGGCGGCACTTTCGCTGCTGCTCCTCGCCTCCCCCGTGCGAAACGGTATGACAAACACGGTTTTCCCGTCGCCAGACGACTCGGTTCGCGGGATCCGTAGTGCGACCGCGTTGCGACAGCTCTTGGCGGCGCCTTACGACTACCACGACGACTTAGCAGCTGCCCTACCGATGCCAGCGCAAGGCAGAACATCTGCGTTACTGGCAGAGCCTCTGCGTTCAAACGACGAGAACGATCGAGCCGCCACCAGAGACGAAGCGGTGTTAAGCGCAAAGACGGTAAGACAAAGCCGGCGGGGAATGATGCCTGAAACATCCCGGACCATCGCGGAAAAGACAAGGGTCGAATGTGACGTAATTGTGACTTTTCCGTCACTTTTAAGTATACGGAAATTTGGGATAAAAATGTGATGGTTGTAAGTACCGGCTCCCGTCACTTATAAGGTCACGAAATTGTGACGACTTGGTGACTTTGGAGTCACAATGGCGTCACATTGTAGTGACTGGCGAAGTGACTTTCTCGTTACTTTTTTGTATCCTCGCCACGTGGACAAAACGCGTTACATCTTTCCGGATATTTTGCCAGGTGTCCTGGTTTATGATTGGTCAAAATCAACTAATCGAATGCCAATTTAGGGTGTGCCCAAACGTGATTTCGTTGGCTAGCGATTCTGAATAGCGACCGCATGTCGCACACGAAATTGAGCATCGCATTGCGCACGTCGAAATTTCAGAACACCACAACCATGACGTCCATTGGCGTTTCTAAAAAAATCTCAATATTTAACAAGTACAGACACTGGCAGAGCAACACAAGCCTACGTCTGCAGAACCGTCCATATGGACACATAGCGATCGAGCTCCATGGACGCACATAGACACAACTGTTTGCACAACCGCACGTCCATATGGACACTTAGCGACTGAGCTCTATAGGCAC